GTTTGGCAAAAGTGTGATCTACGCTTCCACCCTGAATGGAATCACCCCGGGAAGGTCCTGATCCCTGGAAAAATAAGGAACGTGGAGAGCTAAAAGTAAGGAATCTGCGGCGATGGATGTTGTACATCGAGTGAATGCCCTGCAGTTCTCTTCTCCATTACGATAAACTAGCAAACGCCATGGCTCTGGATGCTGACAGCAAACAGTTGAAATAAAGGCAAGGCTGCTTTGAACATGTTGCAACCAGGTAGTAGTACAGTTACAGTTGTACTACTTCGAAGTACTATCTACCACACTCGAGATCACCCAAAGAATAAGGCGATTGAATTCAAAATCAAAAAAATTGTTGGGGATCGTCTGAAGCATATTCAAGCGAGGTACAGTCGGGCTTGATGACTGATCAAAGCCCTCGGGCTGGTCCCTTGGGCTTTGATCAGCCATCAATCCCTGTGTACCTCGCTTGATTATCTACTTGATACCATTGTAGTTGCAAACAAGTAACTACAACAATTGCAGTACAATAGCAAGAGTCCACTCTTGACAATAGTCATGTAGTTTTTTGAATTAGTTATTTGAAAATGGTGAGCATCTTCATCTTCTTCCCGGTGCGCATGTACACATATTTTTTGAATCTGTACGTGCTCCAAGCCAACTCACCTCTGCTCAAATCGACGGCGATTTATTTCGCGATTTTAGGTCGATCGCCACGGAAAACCACACCAAACGTTGACAAAACTCCACGTTTTTCACTGAAGACGCATTGGATGTCCTGATAAAACGGATGGAAAACCTCGTAATGGCTGATGAAGAAGAAGAAATTTGTCGAACTTCCAAGGCGCACTGTAAAAGGAGTGCAAGAGTTTCGCCAGGGAAAGTAGGCAGGTTGGATTCAGTGATGCTTTTGCTGTCGATTGATGTCAGTTCCAGGTGTTCGATTTGTAAGTGCAACAGGGGACTCACTTTAGCACCACTGGCTGATGGACTATACGGGAACGCGAAGAAAGTTCGCGTGATTCTTTGCGTCGCGTTCCCAAAACGTAGAGCAGAACCTCCCTATTATAAGCACAGTCTCTATTATTAGCACGGTCTTGGTGGAAATCAATGCTGCATGCATGATATCCAGCATGTATTTCTTCTTGCTCTGTATGGATGTGTTGGTTGAAAAAATATAAGCACGGTCTCCAATATAAGCGCGGTCTCCAATATAAGCACGGCGTAGAGGGGTGTTGAAAAAATATAAGCACCGCGCTTATAATAGAGAATATACGGTACACTGTTTATGCGATCTTGGGAATACTGATACAGTGGGATACGTCATCATACGAGTTGTACTGTTACTTGTAATTGTACATCATGCAGGTCACCGGTCACCAGTCCGTGCGCCAAATTCAAAAAAGTCGTCTAGAAGTTGCACTTTTATTTGCAACCGCGGGAAATTTGAGAGGTCTGGAGAAGAAAATTCTCAATGGGACTCAAAATTGACAAACAAGACGACGACCAGCGCTCGAGCATAGTACCTTTTCGCTATTCCTTCGTGCATGATACCTATTCTAATTGATAAACACTACCCTCATGTTTCGTTTCATGCGCAACGGACGAAGCGAAGTGTCTTTTTTCGTCCACGAAAGAAAGGTAAGGAAATTGTCGTCTTCGCGACACCCTTCGGATTATTTAGTGGGGCATTGTGGGCCAAGGATATTTTTTCTTTTTCTTTACAACTGTCCCCAGGTACTGAGACGGCGCTGATATCCTAGGAGTTCTGTTAGTGCAAAATGCCAGGTTACTGACTTATGGCGACGTTTGTCCACCCAAAAATATGGGAGATTTCTTGGATAACATACACACATAATACAGTGAATGGTAGTGCAGTGGGCATCCAAAACGGTTGAACCAAACAAATATGGTATGATACCTAGAGGCTAGGCACACAAAAATCACTCAGGAATTGGACGCAAGTCCCGGGACCTTGGTGCGTCATTACACCCGGACATTGAATGTTTGCCGGCACACGGCTTTTGCTCCACCACTTCATACAAGTTTACGCACTCACTCAATTCGAAAGACTGGAACGAGACCAAACCGAATGTGACAACTAAGAGCGAGTTGTGCATTTGTTGGAACAACGTTCGGGCATTGCGAGAAGGATATCAGCAGGGTCCAACAATGGCAGCAACAGCACCAGGTGATGATGGAGTACCAAGGAGCTTGTATCATGCACATTACAGTGAGCAACAAGAGAAACCGTACTGTGGTACGTGAAATCAGAGCCTGGGCAGGATGATCGACACTGTACACTGTGCTACAGCGCCTCAATTGTGCGAGAGAAAACAAACAGACCAGCAAGCACAGATCATGAACTGGTACACAACATTGACAAAGCACAAACCGCACAGCAAAGTTACAGGGCATAGCCGAGCGTTTTGTTGCCAATGAATTGCTTGAGAAGGGAGCAGTATTCCTTGTAACATTGCATGGAGTAAACGAGAACGCAGAGTCAGAACCAGGCGTAACAAGGCAAGACGGCTACTGTACAGGGGCAGGCTTGACGATCACTTGCATACTCGCAATTTTGGTACAACCAGGAAATTAGGCATCACGTCATACCGAAGTGGCTTCAACACGCTACATTGCATTCATAGCTGTACGGTGAACCTGTTACACGAGCTTCTGTGAAACAGACAGCATGCCAATGACCTGCAAGCACCAACAAACGCAGCCGGTAAAACAAACGCAGCCGGTAAAACAAACGCTACATAACTGCCCAACATAAACTTGTACATGCTGATGAGAAGCAAGAATGTGCTTGATGTTGGAAGTTATGCTCGCATATTCAAAAACATGCATGGAAAAACATCAATGACATTGTTCACGAATACAACAGAAACATCATACAGGGAGAGTAAGTAATCCTTCCTCCGTTTTGTATACGCGCACGCGCGCGCGCGTGTGGTAGATAAATCCGTTTGGCATGACTTTCGATCGAGGTTGCGTTCACCGTAGAGATAGGTGAACTCGAAGCCAACACCTCTCACTTTCGCTCTACTGCCCCTTTGGGGCCGATGCGATCCTTGTGCTAAGTTGTGGTAGTGGCTCAACAGAACAGGACAGGTGTGTGTGTGTGTGTGTGCACACGCTCGCGTGCGCGCATGTGTGTGTGTGTGTGCGTGTGTGTGTGTGTATGTGTAAGTGTGGTTTCTGAACTTTTCTCACAATCGTATAAGTTTCAAATTGTCGTGAAAACCCAGCTACACTGTGACCGGTACAATCGCATGTCGTTTACTAGTATCTGGCGGTCAGTCACATGGCATGTCGGGTATCCAACAGCACCGCACTGACAGCTTATAGACCTTATATTTAGTATTTATAGTCCTACTTCAAGTAAATGTAGACAGTCAGCATCATGAAAGTTGCCATTACGTAGAGTTAAATACAAGCCAGTCTCTAGAGATGAGCACGACTGTCTCAGGGTAATACTAGTGATAAATACAGGTACTTCGAAGTACTGTCTTTTTTATCTGTTAAGTTAACACAAGATGGCTTTGTAGCTTCAGTCGTCCAGAATATTCATTTTATTCCACGGTTGCCGCATAATCGACACGCAACTGTACTTGTGCAAATCTCCAAACGCTACGTAATTGGCCGACATTTACTTGTCCACGGTGATGAGAAGCACGGCTCTCCTAATTTTTAAATCATGAAAGGATTACATATGCAGGTACATGCATACAATGTGCACTATCCTGAAGTCGTGCGCAAATATTCAAAATCATTCACCGAACACAGAGAGGCGCACATACCGTAAAGTACCGCGAGAGCGCCCCACCTTGATTTTGCTGCGACAGATTTATATAATACAGCCAGGGAAAGGAAAATCGTGTGGCAGAGTGCAACGAAGTTCGTACGGTGTGAGCAACTTAGTGTACTAAGGTCACACTAAGCAGGTTTTTGTGTGGAGCTCGTGTCCGCTCGAAGGCACAGATTGTCTGCAGAACGTGCAATATGTGTACAAAGTTCGTGTCGTATAACCTACAGACCGGAGACCACCCCCACAATACGACCCCGAAAGGACGAGATGGTGGGGCGCTCTGGCGGTACTTTACGGTACATGTAAATACGAAGGAACCACATGCGCAGCAAGGAGATTAGTCATTACTTTACTTATGAGTTGATGGATAGAAGTTTCCTTTCAGCTGACCATTACCACTCATGAAAGCAATAGTGAGTGCTGTTGTTCTGATTCACAGGTATATATTCGGCACTTAGCGCAATGTGTTTTCGAAGCTAGGCACACGATTTGCATGAGGAAATCATGCAAAGATGTGGCATAAGGCCCTACAAACATGACCTAGGTAAAGGGATGCTATTATTTGCATTTGCAGTACTTTGCCATAGGATAATTTGTGTATGATTGTGTTGATCAATTTCACATAATTTCACGACAGGTCATAGTTTATTTAGTGGGGTGTTGTGGGCCAAGGATCTACGACCATGTCTTTTGCATTTCGAACAAGTAGACACTTTCAACAATTCATACAAAAAATGCCTTCAGTGCAAAACATACCGTTCGGACACACCAGGCAGTCCTTTCCAGCCTTGATTTTCAAGTGCAGACGTATCCACGATGACCTTCGAGTGAACTGCGGCTTGGAACACTTTGAATACGAACCACACACTCAAACTAACTAGACCACCGCATAGCTAGTGTATTCACGGAGCCAAAGAAGTCTCCTTCTGCCCCCACAGGGTCTTGGTTAGTTCTCTAGAAGGGACGAGAGCCATACCTAAATTCAATAAATTCTCCAATTCCAAAAGCCTCAAATGAAGGCGTCTTGGTGACTTCGTTTCCCGCGGTTGCAAATAAAATCAGCCCTTGAGTACCCCTTGGCGCACGGACTGGTCACGTCATGGTATTTTGCCTACTACGCGACCTCGTGCTGCGTGCATGCTGGCTTGCCGTTCAAACTACTTCATTGGTACACACACGCGCGCATGCATTTGTACTTTCGAACAGAGGAGCTGGAGAGAGTTTTTTTGGTGGTTGCACATTTTGAGGTTTGTCTGTTTTGTGGCGTGGAGTTCCTGCTCGGGTGAAGTGCATGTCGAAGTAACTGCTCTCGTTCGGTTTGGAGTCCCATAACACGTGCAAAAGACAACTGCGGATAAGACTCTTTCCAACGGCCAGTACAGTGCATGTAGGCTGGCGTTATGTTCAGCGAGCCGAAACATTTGTGGGGATCGTTTCAGTTTTGAGTCGGTGTTGCAGTTGTCAGTATTTTCTCGCTTTCCTGTGAACTGGGATTAGCAGCAGCAGCACCAGGACGGACGTTTGGGTCATTGCCAGTGTGAAGACCGCCACAGTCCAATGCCGAGAGTATGGGTCTGCCGTGTCCTCGTACTGTGCTGTGCGCTGCTCGTGACCAGTCTCGCTGGACACTTGCTGTACAGGGGCAGCCCACTGGCAACAACGACGGATAGTGCTGAAGGTGAAATGAGCGACGATGACGTCGGCCAGCTGAGACGTGGACCTGCCGTGCCCACGTACAGTGGCGAGGTGAAGGCTGTGGACCTGAACCACCGCCCTCTGGTCATGGCCTCACCAAGTTACCTCGAGGGGAAAAATGAACCGGCCGCGCCGAGCGCCGCTGTGGCGTCGTCCTCGGTAACGGTGGACCGCGATCGCATCATCGGCACGCGAGAGTGGGCCGGCGCGATCAACAAGTGGGCATGGCCGATGCCGGTGAACACGCCTTCCAACTGCGGACACGAACTCGACACGCTCTGCCGGCCCAAGCAGGAGAAGAAGGTCCTGCTGGTGCTGCTGTGGAACAAGCTGTTCGGGCACCCGATGTTCCCGCACGGCAAGCTGCTGGCGCGCTTCCAGTGCTGCGACGGCGTGGTTTGGACATACACGGAGGACCGACGGCTGCTGGTCGAGGCCGACATCGTCGAATTGCACATGAACCGGCTCGACTTTGACGTGGAGCTGCCCGACGTGCACGACAACCAGCTGGTGGCGGCGTTCTCCATGGAGGCGAACCCGATGACGCCGCGCATGCGACTGCTGCTGGAGCGCGGCGTTCACCTGCTGCGGTCGTACCGGCCGGACGCCGCGCTGCCGCACGAGTACGTACGGACGGGCGGCTGCTACGTGAGCGAGGTGCGGCGGCCGCTGACGGTGCCGTTCGAGGAGCGGCTCAACGTGCCCGTGGCGGCGCTGGTCAGCAACTGCCACTCGCACAGCGGCCGCGAGCACGTGCTGAGCGCGCTCATGGAGCGCCTGCCCGTACACAGCTACGGCCGGTGCATGCACAACCGGCGCATCCTACCCGACCAGGGCCGCGAGGACATGTTCACGCCGTACAAGTTCCTGCTCAGCATCGAGAACCGTCTGTGCCGGCACTACGTCACCGAGAAGTGGTACCGCAACTTCCGCATCGGCACCATCCCGATCGTGGCCTCGCTCAACGACGAGTTCCCGCTGTACTCGATACACGCGCCGACCGCCGCGTCCTACGTGAACGTCTTCGACTACAAGACGGTTGGGGAGCTGGCGTACCACATCGGGCGGGTTGCCGACGACGCAGACATGTTCCACGCGTATCATTCGTTCCGCCGTAACGGTACGCTGCAGGCGGAGTTTGTGCGTCGCTATGGCCCCACGGACGACCTCGGCGGCTGGTGCAAGCTGGCCAAGAAGCTGATGGACGCCGGCGAGCGGAAGAAACTGCTCGCGCAGCGCCTGACGCTGGAGGACATCAACGATTGCGTCAGCCAGGCGGGTATCATAGAGACGATTCCGTATTAGGGCTTGGTGACTTGACGTGCCGCTGCCCATACGCTCTCGGGAAGAACCCTAATACCGCATCAAGTCACGCCTGGCAATGATTGTGTGAACCAAGGGACGGTTATCGAGTCATGCTTGTCAATGTTTCTTTGAACCAAGGGACAGGCATAGCTGCAATCCCTAGTGCCTCTTCTCCTGGCCGCTTGCCACTTGCCGAAAAAACTGGAGAGAGAGCGTCAGCGTCGCAGTCGTTTCTAAGGCGGTTTAACTACTGAACGGATGTCTCGTCACGTTCGGCCCTGCACTGCGGCCATTCTGTGCTCCCATTCGGCTCTAGGTACTGCCCTTAATGTGCCTATTTACTAGTACGTTGACAACCGTCCGGGGGACAGGCGTACGAACACGATGCCTACACCAGGCGGTCATCTTCGACTGCCCCGGCCCGACATTGCTGTACTGTAGCGGTGCGACATGCTATATGGCCATTCTGTTTTGGCGGGTATCTGTCGGTGCGTGTACTGTGCCAAGGAGGCGTTGTACTCACCTAACCTGGTATGCCTCCTCGTGAACACAGCCGCTGCCTGTCTAGTCTACCCTGGCTTGCTAGTAAGTTTTCGACAATTCGACGTGTTTTGAACACATGACTTCTGCGACTTGAGTGGCAGGAGAGATGGATTATTAGCACGTGCGTGCAACTGTGTGTGTGTGTGTGTGTGCGTGCGTGCGTGTGTGGGTGTGTGCGTGTGTCTGAGAGAAGAAAGAGACAGAGTGAGTGATTGAGTAAGAAAAAAAAACCCAGATCAAGAACAGTTTCGTCCTTCTTCATACGTACCAATACACAGACATCTGGAAAGATGAGTAATATCGTATGTTTATTTTATTTTATTTGTCTGTGTTGTGCGCACGAACCCCCCTTTCTTTCTATAATGCAGCTGCATGATCTCCAAAATTTCTTAGTTATTTTCCCCATTTTTTTACAATGAAGCCGCGTGGAGCATCGTTCCGAATTTTTTACCTTCAATTTTTTTAACCTCTAGGAGTACTGATAGTGCTGAAAGGCAACCTAAGAACTCGGTCCCAGATCCTGTCCGCTTCATAACTTTTATAGCCAACAAGATGAGACTTGGTCGTGGCAGTGCGCATGCTGCGAACTTTGGACGTGCCTTCTGATCAACTTTGCCGGCCGAGAGAGAGAGAGAGAGAGAGTGTGTGTGTGTGTGTGTGTGTGTGTGTGTGTGTGTGTGTGTGTGTGTGTGTGTGTGTGTGTGTGTGTGCATGCATGCAGCTGTGATGATCGTGTCGGTGTGTGGTGCGCTGCCTTCGTTGCATGCACGTTACACTGACTGGCTGACTGGGCTCCATCTGGCCCCTGCAGCCATTCACTGCATGCACGTTGTACTGGCTGGGCACCATCTGGCCCTGCAGTCATTAACTTAAAAACCCACGATCTCCCAGTGCAAGCACACCTGCTTTTTATTGGCTCGATTCCTTCATGTTGCGGTTACCGGCTTATGGATGCCATGTCTGAATGTTCGGTGCTGCGATGAACTTCATTTCAACACAAAAGTTGGGGTTTTAACGAAAGTGTGGTATTCGAGTTTTTGAACTGTCTGTGTCTGCGTGGATGTGGCTGCATGATGCACTGAAGGCTGCCTGCTATATGCGCAGCTGGCCCTCAGGAAAGACATGACACATGTGTGCTCTTGATTATGGACTCTTCACGCAGCTCATAATCGAATTTCCGCTCTCTCTCTCTCTCTCTCTCTCTCTCTCTCTCTCTCTCTCTCTCTCTCTCTCTCTCTCTCTCTCTCTCTCTCTCTCTCTCTCTCTTTTCATATTCTATGCGTGTTTGTGAACGCCCTGTATCAGTGTGTGTGTGTGTGTGTGTGTGTGTGTGTGTGTGTGTGTGTGTGTGTCTGTCTGTCTGTCTGTGTATTTGTGTCTGAGTACACATAAAGAAAAGAATGAAACAAAGCATTTCTGCTGTAACTCTGAGGGTGCGTTCTTATATTCTCTAGCTTCTAGAAGAAGAAGAAAAGAGAAGTCGAAGAAACTGGGATTACTCAAGAACGGGTCTCGAAGAATACGGAGATATTTTGCACATGTCAAGCAAAATGAAGCGTCAAAGGGGCCGCGATCTTGAGTGATGAATGTATGTGCATATGCGAAAAGGGAAATGCGTACACTCATGATGAACACGTGGCTTTTAGTCGTAGTTCGCATGCGCTGATCCCAAACCGCGGGAATCTCCAAGTTTCAACCACCTCTGAAGCTTGGAGAGCTTGGAGAGCTTTGGAGAGCCTCCTAAAATTCGGAGAGGATATAAGAACAGCTCTCGAACTTTTCGGAGAGTCTCCAACTTTTCCGAGAGGATTTAAGAACGCACGGTTTCAGCGATAGTGGTGATCAAGGAGTCGTAAAATACCGGTATTTTACGACTCCCTGGTGGTGATATGATCGGCGCAGTGAAACCGTGGAACTCACTGAGTTACAGCCGAAATGCTTTGTTTCATTCTTCTCTCTATGTGTATAAGGCTGTGCACGTACATGTAGGTGCATCGAGCTGCGACTCTCTCCAGCTGCCACAACTCGTTCTGAGCAGTGTGAGACTGTGTATTTGCGTATGTGCGAATATGTGTATTAGTATGTGTGCGTCTGTGTATCTGTGTGTACATGTGTGTCTGTGTATCTGTGTGGACATGTGCGTCTGTGTATCTGTGTGGACATGTGCGTCTGTGTATCTGTGTGGACATGTGTGTCTGTGTATCTGTGTGGACATGTGCGTCTGTGTATCTGTGTGGACATGTGCGTCTGTGTATCTGTGTGTACATGTGCGTCTGTGTGGACATGTGCGTCTGTGTATTCGTGTGTACATGTGTGTCTGTGTATCTGTGTGGACATGTGCGTCTGTGTATCTGTGTGGACATGTGCGTCTGTGTATCTGTGTGGACATGTGCGTCTGTGTATCTGTGTGGACATGTGCGTCTGTGCGTCTGACATGTGCGTGCGTCTGTGTATCTGTGTGGACATGTGCGTCTGTGTATCTGTGTGGACATGTGCGTCTGTGTATCTGTGTGGACATGTGCGTCTGTGTATCTGTGTGGACATGTGCGTCTGTGTATCTGTGTGGACATGTGCGTCTGTGTATCTGTGTGGACATGTGTGTCTGTGTATCTGTGTGTACATGTGCGTCTGTGTATCTGTGTGGACATGTGCCTCTGTGTATTCGCGTGCACATGTGTGTCTGCATATTGTTTTGTCGGCTTGTGTGTGTGTGTGTGTGTGTGTGTGTGTGTGTGTGTGTGTGTGTGTGTGTGTGTGTGTGTGTGTGTGTGTGTGTGTGTGTGTGTGTGTGTGTGTGTGTGTGTGTGTGTGTGTGTGTGTGTGTGTGTGTGTGTGTGTGTGTGTGTGTGTGTGTGTGTGTGTGTGTGTGTGTGTGTGTGTGTGTGTGTGTGTGTGTGTGTGTGTGTGTGTGTGTGTGTGTGTGTGTGTGTGTGTGTGTGTGTGTGTGTGTGTGTGTGTGTGTGTGTGTGTGTGTGTGTGTGTGTGTGTGTGTGTGTGTGTGTGTGTGTGTGTGTGTGTGTGTGTGTGTGTGTGTGTGTGTGTGTGTGTGTGTGTGTGTGTGTGTGTGTGTGTGTGTGTGTGTGTGTGTGTGTGTGTGTGTGTGTGTGTGTGTGTGTGTGTGTGTGTGTGTGTGTGTGTGTGTGTGTGTGTGTGTGTGTGTGTGTGTGTGTGTGTGTGTGTGTGTGTGTGTGTGTGTGTGTGTGTGTGTGTGTGTGTGTGTGTGTGTGTGTGTGTGTGTGTGTGTGTGTGTGTGTGTGTGTGTGTGTGTGTGTGTGTGTGTGTGTGTGTGTGTGTGTGTGTGTGTGTGTGTGTGTGTGTGTGTGTGTGTGTGTGTGTGTGTGTGTGTGTGTGTGTGTGTGTGTGTGTGTGTGTGTGTGTGTGTGTGTGTGTGTGTGTGTGTGTGTGTGTGTGTGTGTGTGTGTGTGTGTGTGTGTGTGTGTGTGTGTGTGTGTGTGTGTGTGTGTGTGTGTGTGTGTGTGTGTGTGTGTGTGTGTGTGTGTGTGTGTGTGTGTGTGTGTGTGTGTGTGTGTGTGTGTGTGTGTGTGTGTGTGTGTGTGTGTGTGTGTGTGTGTGTGTGTGTGTGTGTGTGTGTGTGTGTGTGTGTGTGTGTGTGTGTGTGTGTGTGTGTGTGTGTGTGTGTGTGTGTGTGTGTGTGTGTGTGTGTGTGTGTGTGTGTGTGTGTGTGTGTGTGTGTGTGTGTGTGTGTGTGTGTGTGTGTGTGTGTGTGTGTGTGTGTGTGTGTGTGTGTGTGTGTGTGTGTGTGTGTGTGTGTGTGTGTGTGTGTGTGTGTGTGTGTGTGTGTGTGTGTGTGTGTGTGTGTGTGTGTGTGTGTGTGTGTGTGTGTGTGTGTGTGTGTGTGTGTGTGTGTGTGTGTGTGTGTGTGTGTGTGTGTGTGTGTGTGTGTGTGTGTGTGTGTGTGTGTGTGTGTGTGTGTGTGTGTGTGTGTGTGTGTGTGTGTGTGTGTGTGTGTGTGTGTGTGTGTGTGTGTGTGTGTGTGTGTGTGTGTGTGTGTGTGTGTGTGTGTGTGTGTGTGTGTGTGTGTGTGTGTGTGTGTGTGTGTGTGTGTGTGTGTGTGTGTGTGTGTGTGTGTGTGTGTGTGTGTGTGTGTGTGTGTGTGTGTGTGTGTGTGTGTGTGTGTGTGTGTGTGTGTGTGTGTGTGTGTGTGTGTGTGTGTGTGTGTGTGTGTGTGTGTGTGTGTGTGTGTGTGTGTGTGTGTGTGTGTGTGTGTGTGTGTGTGTGTGTGTGTGTGTGTGTGTGTGTGTGTGTGTGTGTGTGTGTGTGTGTGTGTGTGTGTGTGTGTGTGTGTGTGTGTGTGTGTGTGTGTGTGTGTGTGTGTGTGTGTGTGTGTGTGTGTGTGTGTGTGTGTGTGTGTGTGTGTGTGTGTGTGTGTGTGTGTGTGTGTGTGTGTGTGTGTGTGTGTGTGTGTGTGTGTGTGTGTGTGTGTGTGTGTGTGTGTGTGTGTGTGTGTGTGTGTGTGTGTGTGTGTGTGTGTGTGTGTGTGTGTGTGTGTGTGTGTGTGTGTGTGTGTGTGTGTGTGTGTGTGTGTGTGTGTGTGTGTGTGTGTGTGTGTGTGTGTGTGTGTGTGTGTGTGTGTGTGTGTGTGTGTGTGTGTGTGTGTGTGTGTGTGTGTGTGTGTGTGTGTGTGTGTGTGTGTGTGTGTGTGTGTGTGTGTGTGTGTGTGTGTGTGTGTGTGTGTGTGTGTGTGTGTGTGTGTGTGTGTGTGTGTGTGTGTGTGTGTGTGTGTGTGTGTGTGTGTGTGTGTGTGTGTGTGTGTGTGTGTGTGTGTGTGTGTGTGTGTGTGTGTGTGTGTGTGTGTGTGTGTGTGTGTGTGTGTGTGTGTGTGTGTGTGTGTGTGTGTGTGTGTGTGTGTGTGTGTGTGTGTGTGTGTGTGTGTGTGTGTGTGTGTGTGTGTGTGTGTGTGTGTGTGTGTGTGTGTGTGTGTGTGTGTGTGTGTGTGTGTGTGTGTGTGTGTGTGTGTGTGTGTGTGTGTGTGTGTGTGTGTGTGTGTGTGTGTGTGTGTGTGTGTGTGTGTGTGTGTGTGTGTGTGTGTGTGTGTGTGTGTGTGTGTGTGTGTGTGTGTGTGTGTGTGTGTGTGTGTGTGTGTGTGTGTGTGTGTGTGTGTGTGTGTGTGTGTGTGTGTGTGTGTGTGTGTGTGTGCTGACCGAAATGGAAGGATAGCTGCGTTTGCAGCCATGGCTGTGTGGTGTAGACCAGGCCATGGTTGCTGCAGCATGTCCCAGTGGATTTGCGCTCTGCTGGGAGTAGGTACACAAGCACAAGCGAGACGAGGCAGTGTTTCTTGTTTGAAAATTTTTCAAATTTTCGAATAGTTGTGGACGAGGATGAGGACGATGAGGAAGTCGAGGAAGGAGCGAGAGACTCTCTTTATGGCGAGCTGGAATGTCCAGTCCCTTGTAGAGGACACAGGTGATGCCAGGATATGTAGGAAAAACAAGTCAGTGTCGCGAGTGGACAGAGGTCTGGACTTTTTGTCGGCGGAACTCGTAAAATTCCGTGTCGGAGTTGCGGGAATTCAAGAGACGAAGTGGTTCGGCAGTGATGTGTGGCCCATCGGCAATTGTACCTTCGTTCATTCTGGTCGCCCAATCCCAACAGGGGGAGAACCAGCCCGACGGAACGAGGGTGTTGGAATTTGGATGAATCCAGAGATGTCGGCGGCGTGGCGGCGTGGCGGAGAACAGTGGGACCCCGTAAGCTCGCGCATCGTCACGGCTCGTATCCTACTTCACGCGAAGGGGGACAAACTACCCCGCGGAGATCGATGTCACCGTGATCAGTACTTGTCTGTTATCAACATCTATGCGCCCACCAACAAAGCGACATTCAGCGTGAAGGAGACATTTTATAGACACCTGCAGGCGATCGTTGACAGAGTCAACCGTAACGACATCTTTGTACTCCTGGGCGATTTCAACGCCAGAGTAGGGTCACGCGGAACTGGTGATTTTCGGGACAGGTATGACGATAGGCCCCCCTGGGATCAGATCATTGGTGACTTT